TCAGTAAAGGTTAGGGCGTACCTCCCTGTTTGAGGCAGTCTGCTGGGGGCATAGACAACGATGTGCTGACCGATGGATGCAATGCAATGGCTTTGTGATTTTTGCGGGTATTGAGCCCTTCGCAAGGCCCTTCTCGGGCATGCAAACGTTCTGGGCTCAGGCCCCCAGCAAGCCTTGTTCCAGCACTAAGTGAAGGTGGGCCTGTACATCCACGAGGGGCCTATTTTCAACATTTTTCGTACGTGGGGTACCAGACAGTTGCAGCACGCCACTTGGTTACAGAGCAACATGAGCGTTCCCTGGCTCCTTCCAGAAGCAGCAGCTGTGTCGTACAGTTGAGCCCAGGGCTCATTCGGTTGAGCCCCGGCGCACACGAAGTGAGAGGCCGACACATCACTCAGAGGCCACAGACCAATGAGAATGCAGCATTGTCGTCACACATCTACTGGGAGCCAATGAGACTGCGGCAAACACTTGGAGCCTGTAGGGCTATCTGGACGTGCCTAACTGCACGAGGCCCAGGCCAGTATCAGAAACTGGGCCGCAGACACTTTGGGCCAACCTGAAGCTACTGGGCCCCTACACGCCTGGCCCAGAACAGCCAGCGGCAGGGCACATTTTCCCTATAGGAAAGTGAGTGCCCAGGGGCAGGGGATTCTGGCCGGACTGTGCGGCCACACTGCCGCATTTGCGCATGAGCAGCTGCGCTAAGCTGCGGGCCAGACGCGCGAACGGCGCTGAGGTGACAGGGGCGCTGCTGAGGCAGCGGGCACACGGCGGCCATAGCCAGGCGGCTGGGGCGCAGGCGCGGTGATGGTGATGGTGGTCTTCGGGTAGGAGGCGCATGAAGTGGGGGTGACAGGGTCTGATGAGGGGAGGAGAGAGAACGTACCTGGTGTATGCTGGCAGTTTACATTGGTCTTCAACTTCGAAGTGATCTCGTTGCAAGAATGTAGATAGGCTAGATTGTGACGGGGCAGAGGCAGAGCAGCGAGGCAGACTCGAACACGACTAGACGCAGACTCGAACACGACTAGACGGACGCAGACACAAAGTGGCAAAAGTCGCAAAGTCGCAGTCTTGAATTCCCGAACACAATGTTGAAGCAAAGCCGCACTGAACACAAGCACTGAGGCTGGAAACTTGGTGCCCTTACTGGGCTTGAGTCCGTACATAAGTACCGGACTCAAGTACAGTCCTGAGGGCAAAAGTGAAAACACCTCACGGCCAGAACTGAAAATTGAAAGTCTGAGAGTGGGTGCCAGAATGTCGGATGGCGTCAAGTGTCCGAAATCCGAAAGTCCCAAAAGAAGGAATTTGAAAACGGGCGCAGGAATGCAGATTGCGCCAACTGTCCGAAATCAGAAAAGCAAGAATCAATCAAACAAAAAGAATTGTAAAACAAAGAAAAAAGAAAACAAATACAGCAAGCTGGCGGGTGGTAACCCGCAGACCAGGTATCGAGCCCTGGCTGTCCGTAACACTATCCCCTCCCTCTAGAGGGCAACGTCCCGGCTGCCAAAAGTCATGAAAATAATGCTGAATCCTGTGAAGGACGGGACGGGGCCAATCACTGGGAAGCAAGGGCTGGGGGAAACAGGGTTTTCCTATTGATGAGCTACGGGGTATGCGTACTGATGGGCTACGGAGCTTTGAGCCGAGAGGGAACAGAGTTTGCCTACTAACGAACTACAGGGTTAGGAACTGCAGGGTAACAGGGTTGTCCTACGGATGAATTACGGGGTTATGATCTGAGGGGGGAACAGGGTTGTCGTACAGATGAACTACAGGGTTACGCTGGGCGAAAGGGTGCTGTGAGCAAAAAGAAAGAAAGGAAGATTAATTTGCGGACACAGGCGTCGGTGATGAAGTTGCCGGTGGCACCTATGCAAGGAATATGAGTGGGTACGACGTACAGAAACTCAGTCTGCGAAATCACACAGATGCCAGAGTAGTCGTGTACAAGCCGAGAGCACAAATGCACCGAGATCCCATCAAAATAAGAGCAATACAATGGAGTAATGAGCCAATGTTCAAGCCCGCAGGCCACACCAACACAGTATCCAAAGTCGTTCCTCTCTGTCTGGCGCCCAGCGCCCAGCCTACCCTACTCGCCTATCCTACCTACATCAGCATTCACGCAACAGGCTCACTTCGACTCTTGAAGACCAATGTACATGACGTCAACACCATAGCCGACCTCTCTTCATGTACTAGGTACGTATCTCGTCTCCCCTCATCAGACCCTGACCACCCACACTATTCCTTCCTGAACCGATCGCCCTCTTACCCCCTAGCGCCCTGCAGCCCGGCTATGGCTGCTTGCGCTCCGCTGCCCAGCAGTGCCCCAGTTCACCACATGCGCGCCCGCACGCGCTCTGGCCTCAGCGCAGCAAGCAGCCTCTAACGCAGCAGCGCAGCAGCATGACCACATTGCCTGTGTGGGCCAGAATGCCAGAACCCTGGCTGCCCTCCTTCCTATATGGAAGTGGCAGCCTCTGCTTGGCTGCGTGTGGCCTGGCTGGAAGCTTCCAGTAGCTTCCGGTTGGGCTCCAGTACCTGCGCCCAGGCCCAGTGCCACAGTTGAGGGCCTGGGCCCTTTACAGTTGGACATGGCGTGAGTCTCAGACTTGGGCCGTTTCCTGCATTTGCACAGGACCCGGGGTATGCACGTTGACAGAGCTGCTTTTGCATAGGCCTGTAGCTACTTCGTGATGTATTGGCCCTGCATTGTGTGTATGTGCCCAGGCGCAACTGCCACGGGCTGGGCCAAACTTTACGACGCAGCTTAGGGAGGCTCACACGTCTACTCAACCAACTGGCGAGCTGTAACAGCCTGAGTACCCACATATGAAAAGTGTCAAATTTTGGGCTCTCGTGAATATTCAGGCCCGCCTTCACTTAGGGCGGGCACTTGGCTTGCTGGGGGCCTCTGCCCAGAACATGTGCATGTCTGATAAGGGCCCTGTGAGGGCTCATTCCTCGCACCTATATCAAGGAGGGCCCGGAACTTCATTGTAGTTGCGCCAAGAGAGATGGAGACAAACTTGAGCTGGAATTGGGCGGTTCCGGCACAAGCAGAGGAGATCATGGTGTTGAGGCGGCGTTGCTCCAGGCCTAGTCGAACAAGCCGATCGTATCGGGCTTGTTCCTCAACAACATCAGAGACGATAATGGAAGAGGGATTAGGAAGAAGAGTGGAGGAGCACGTGCCAGTAGGGAGCTCGACCGACGGAATGGGGGATGTCGTCGGTAGGGGGGCAGGCGGAGTGGACTGTGATGCCTGGGGGTCGTCCGGTGGGATATGCATCACCGGAGGGGGGTTAGGCAGGCGGATTGTCGATGCCAAATGGGCCATCGGTGGAATGGAAGTCGTCACCGATGGTGGGGCCGACAGACTAGTTGTTGATGCTGGGTGGGGATCACGGCATGCCAGGGACCAGTGTTCATGTTGGGGAGGGACCGGATCCTGCGGTGGGGGGTTGAGTGGAAGTCACGGGTCGGGATGCCGCGGACCAGGGTGCCTGTCGAGTGAATTGACTGGCGTTGGGGCAGTTTGTTTGTTGGTTTCCCAACTGGCCGCAACGGAAGCAACCACCATTGGCTTGGAGGTAGGTGCGTTCCTCCGGTGTGAGTTTCTTGATCGGGGGAGGTTGGGTGGATGAGGAAGGTCGAGCAATGCGATCCTTGCGCTCCATCATCGTGAATTGGATGGTGTTAAGATCCTCGGTGGTGAAGGACAAGGAATCGAGTGAGTCGGAAGGTGTGTCGGGGTCGGGTGTGGAAAACTCATCCGAGGAAGTGGTGGAGGTGGTGTCTTCGAAGGTGATGTTGTGAAAGAAGCAAGGGCGGGAAGGGGCCGATGTGAGTGCCGCCTTGTAGGGGGAGAGGAGGCGGTCCATTTGGAGGGCACGACTGAGGAGGTCGGCGAGGGTCATGGAAGGCTCGTGGACAAGGGCTGCTGCTAGGTCCTTGCGGCATACCCGCTTGACGCGAAAGATGAATGCGGTGTTGCTGATGATGTCGATGGGGATGTGCTGGCGAAGCGAGCGGACGTATTGAGCAAAACGGTCGGTTGGCCCGTTTTGGCGGAGCCGACAGAATTGGTCGAGGTAGTCGTCGACCGTTTTCGGTGGACGAAAGGTGGTGGTGATCATGATGGCCCACTCAAGTAAGGAGTGAGGTGGAAGACTTACATGATGGCGGTTGGACATTTCTGTGTACCACCAGCGAGCGGCGCCGTCTAGGAGTTTGGTGCCGGCAATGGGGAGCCAGTGGATGACGGGAACGTTGTGGAGGGAGAAGGTTTGTTGGAGTTTGGTGAGAAAGAGGAAGGCGTCCTCATGGGGTTGGCCGAAGAAGGTGGGGATCTTGTTAGTGTGGAATGATGAGTACATTATCTATTAATCATATATTTCTATTGTTTAATCCTATATTATAATGATACTAATGATAATCTATCTATCTAGCATGAAATAAATGAAATTTATCAGTATTCATAATATTCATATTAATATATATATCTTATTGATTTTTACTTTGTACTGATAGATATCAAAACAAAATGACAAATTCTCTCTATTATCACTTTTATATGATTTTCTTTGTTAACAGAAGAATCATGCTGATCATGTAAAACAAAGACCCTTAATACAGGCGATCCTAATTGCAACAAAGTTGCCTCTACCAAGAAAATTCGGGCACGCCTTCAACTTTTTTGTTCGTGTGCCGGCACGAAGTGTGGCATCAAAGTTTCCATAGTACATGAAAATGGAAGCGAAACAGTCAGTAGTCTTGCCAAACTGATGGAGAGTCGTGTGCTAGGAAATCTTGCACGCAGGGTTCGGAGGGAAGCTTAGTTAGATTACACACACTGCTTACCCTATAGGGATATTGCCGACTTTGGGGGCAATGACGACGAGGGCGTTGAAGTCAAGGGTGGAGGAGGAAGAAGCGATCCAGGTGAAATCCTTGGTAGGGTTGGTGGGAATAAGAGCGTTTGGGGGAAGAAGTGGAAGAGGAGGGTACAGGGTTTGTGGTGTGGGAGTGATCTGGGTATAGGTGGGGAGGGTGGAGGTGATGGTGGACGAAGTCAAGAGAGATTTTGATTGGGGGGGAATGGTCAATGATTGTGTGACGGCGGGGGTTGTTGTCTTGGGCGAGAGGGGAGGTGAGATGACCATGGTGGAGGTGGTGGTGGATGAAGGCAGGGGTGTGGATGACGTGCTACCGGAGGGAGCGATGGATGTTGAGGAGGAGGTAGGTGGTGCAGATGTGGAGGCGGAGGGTGGGGGAAGAGTGATGGAACCCGAGCTGGACGAGGGGGCTGTGGCGGTGACGACTTGGATGGTGGGGGAGGCATGTTGGTGTTCCAGGTGGTTATCCGGTCGGAAAGGTCGGAGAGTGACACTTGGAGGGTGTCGAGGGTGGCGTAGACATTGGCTCCACGCGAAACTTCATAAGTTGTGACTTCGTTGCGAGACTGCGCCTAAAGGACTAGGTGCAGCGCCTTAGTAGACCGGTAGCATCTACTTTGGCCAACAAAGAGCGCATGATGGTGGAGGACTACGTCAGAGATGTAGTCTGCACTTTCTCCTACTCAGGAGGAGAGTTAAATCGTAAGATATCATTCCTCGTGAGTGGCGATTTGCCCTTTGACATGTTGTTGGGCATGTACTACCTTGAGGTTGTCAAGCCCAAGTTTGACTGGGACAAGAAGGTGTTGAAGCACGAGTTGCCTAATGGGAGGACCGTTTGACTGGCTAAGTATAAAGCTAGTGGGTTAATAGACTCCTATGGGTGTTTATGCGCATCTGCCTTCTATAAACCAAGAGGAAGGAATGTACTTAGTCTATATCTCTGGAAAAGGGGATGTCGTTAAAACACCCTCAGAGATAGCGACAATCGTCGCTAAGTACCCTGATCTGTTCGAGGAGCCCTCAGGAATCGTAGACAGGGAGGTTGTCCATGCCATAGAGATCATCCCAGGTAGCAAGACACCTAAAGGGAGAATCTATAGGATGGCTCCGACGGAGTTGGACGAGCTTCGTCGGCAACTGAAAGAGCTCACAGAGAAGGGTTGGATTCGGCCTAGCACTTCCCCCTTTGGCTCACCAGTCTTATTTGTTCCAAAGAAAGGGGGAATATTAAGGATGTGCATTGATTATAGAGGGGTCAATACCATCACCGTTAAGAACGCAGAGCCTCTACCGCACATCGACAACCTATTGGATAGGGTGCAGGGGTGTAAGTACTACACCAAGATAGACTTAAAATTCGACTACCATCAGATTGCCATAAGATCAGAGGACCAACACAAAACCGCATTCCAGACCAGGTACGGTCTGTACGAGTTTGTGGTGATGTGCTATGGCCTTTGCAATGYGTCGGGTACATTCCAGCACACCATGAATAGGATCTTCCATGACTACTTAGATAAGTTCGTCGTCGTGTACCTCGACGATATACTTATCTTTAGTAAGAYTGTCGAGGAGCATGCTCAGCATGTAGATAAAGTCATCTCACTCCTTCKGCAGCACAAGTATAAGATAAACAAAGAGAAATRGGAGTTCGGTCGCAATCGAATCTTGTACTTGGGTCATGAAGTATCCTCCGATGGGATTAGGCCGGAAGATGCGAAGGTGGCTAGGATACGTGACTGGCCACGACCTTACTCTGTGACTGAGGTCAGATTATTCTTGGGAATGTGTGGTTATTATCACAATTTCGTAAAGAATTATAGTATGATCGCATCTCCCTTGACTGATCTAACTCGACTTGACACGCCATGGGACTGGACCGACGAGTGTGAGGCAGCATTCAAGCGTTTGAAGCATGCTCTCATGGTACCCGATCCGCAAAGGCCATTTGTTGTAACCACTCTCGCAAGCCAATAYGRCATTGGCGTAGTGTTGGCTYAACAGAAAGGGAAAAAGTTGAAACCGGTCGAGTACATGAGCAAAAAGATGTCATCAAAGAAGTTGGCAAAGTCCACCTACGAGAGGGAACTCTATGCTCTCTACAAGGCACTTGYCCACTGGAGGCWCTRTCTATTAGGAAGGTTCTTCTATTTGAGAACTGACCATCAGACCCTCAAGTCGATCAAGACCMAACCAGTTGTCTCCGATGCACTCAAACGCTGGATTGAAGTCATAGATCAATATGACTTCAAACTAAACTATATGAAGGGAGAGTACAACAAGGTTGGGGACGCATTGTCTAGAAGGGCAGATTACCTAGGTGCGCTGATTTCCGAGTTTGGCTTATCTGAAGACGTGACTCGATCTTTGGGGGAAGCCTACAAGGAAGATCCCATCACGATGGATATCATCAAAAAACTGCAGGCCAAAGACAAGGCCACCACTGACGAGTTTGTGATGGTGGATGGGTTACTCTTTCTTGAAAAGGCGGGGTTTAAAAGGTTAGTTGTTCCATCTAGGGAAGTTTTGCGTAGTTTATTTTTAGGTGAGTGTCATGACGCAACGGGACATTTCGGCTACAAGAACACTAGTGCTAATTTAATACAGCGACTTTGGTGGCCTAACATGCTAGACGATGCAAAGAAACACGTAGAGACTTGCCAGGTCTGTCAACGGGACAAGCCGCGGACTCAAGCTCCGCTTGGGTTACTAAAGCCTCTACCCATTCCTACTGGCCCTGGGCAAAGTATCGAGAGAGATCGCCCCTCCCTCCCCGTACCCCTCCCCCCTCAGCCCTACATTGCCTCCGCCGAGGAGAGTCACCCACTCTCCCTCGGCCCCAATATAGGACCAATCCTCTCCCCCTCTTTCCCCAGGAGCACGCAGTTCCCACCTAAAGCAGCCCCCCCGCCCCTTGCCCATTTCCGGTTCCGCAGGGACTGATGTTGACCCACACACAGTCCTTGCCCTAGAATAGGGCAACCCCCTACTCCGCCCCTACCCTCTTTGAGACATTCACCCCCCACCTTGCAATGCCCCTGCAGGATAGAGTTCCCCCCACCCCCTTCCCACTGTTCAGCCCTCCGGGAACAATCCGATCCAGCCGACTATATTTATTGATGACACACTTACCAAAATATCATCCGCTTGGATTTTGTTGGATTTTGTTGAAGACGATGGACAGCACCCTTAAGACGATGATAATGAGAATGATGGTAACAACCAACTCACCTGCTGATGCAGAGCAACATCTAATGATTCTAATGAAAACAAGCTGATGATGATGATGAGAATGACGAGAATGAAGACAATGATGATGTTGATCATACCAAAGAGCAGCACCAACAACCCCTATGATTACAAACTCAGTTTGATGGATGATGATGATGATGATGATAATGATGATAGCGCTGATGATGGTGATGTCGATAATGATGATGATCATCATGAAGATGATGATGATGTTGATGATATTGATGACGCCTTGATGATGATGATCATAACAATGATGATGTTGATGGTGATGTCAGTAATGATGATGATGATGATGATGATGACGTACAGCGCCCTATGATGACCATAAGATGATGATGGTGTGATGACGAGCACCTTGGATGATAACCTAAAGATGATGATGATGATGATGATGATGATGATGATGAGCAACGTCCTATGATGACGTCAAGCTTTGCCAACCACGCCGTATGATGGAGAGATATTTGATGATGGAGATACAACAATGAGTGACGGGCAGCGCCCCTGATGCAAGGCTCCTTGATAATAGTGATGATATTAGCGCCGAGCAGGAGTAAAGACATACGCCTTGATGATGATGAGGAGCAGTACCCTGATGCAGATGATGATGATGATGACAAACCATTACTGTGATGGTGCTGTCAAATCACGCCCTGTTGATGATGATGGTGACTAGCAGTACTCTAATGATGATGACACCGATGCTGGTGCTGGTGGTGATCAGCGAGAGTGCCGTAGATGACAGAGATATATACAAAAACCGAAATCAACGCACTCGATATCGCCTCCAATCCTCCTCCCGCTCCACGTAAGCACGCGCTCCTCCTTTCCGTCCGCGTCATACCAACTGCCTACCACAACACTACGYAGACCATTGACCAAGGAGCAAAAGYCATAAGAAGGYTGGACTTCTCAAGGAGACCCACCTCCTCTCGAAGRCAAGTTCCCCTTCACCCAATGTGCTAACCTGGAACGCCACWRGATGAAGCGCAAAGTTGCAGATGGCACTGAAGTGCTTTCAAAAGGCAGGCAACACCGAGTCACGCTCCATCTTCCTKCCCTCCCRCYGTCTGATCTCTACCTCATCACTACCCGATCACCAAGGCGCCGTCACACCAAAACTGCCCATGTCATACCCAACTGCCACTTCTCGCTCGCGTGTTTCCAAGTTGTACGGCGCCACAAGACTGCCCGTGYGTKTTTTTTTTTTTTTTTTTTGGAGGCTCCAGAGCYGGGGTTCGAGGTGCCCACCCCTAGACCCCCGGAACCCCGTCGGGAYTCAACAACCCTGGTTATAGCCCCGCGGTCATCACGACAGTTGGGAAAAAAATAACAGCGAATTGCTTTTTTTCGTTGTTCTTTTTTTCCCAACTGTCGTGATAACCGCGGGGCTAGAACAAGGGTTGTTGAGCCCCGACGGGGTTCCGGGGATCTAGGGGTGGGCACCTTGAACCCTGGCTCTGGAGCCCCGAAAGAAAAAAAAAAAAAAAGAATATATATATATATATATACATATATATATATATATCCTACCCCTTAAGCGCGGTGGGCCCGCGGGGGGAGGTCGTGTGCCGCTGCGCGCCGGAATCGGGCCGAACTTTTGATTCGGCCCAGCGGATGAAGGTGATCGAGGGCAGGGGTGCGTGCAGAGCGGCGCGCGTACCGAATTGTTCACAACGCAAAAAAAAATGAGTGAGCGCGCCCATCGGGCCGGGCGGCGGCGGGCGTTGATGCGAGGGGATATCTCGAAGCGCCCGCCGTCGGATAGCCGTCCCCCTTTTTTTTTAAATTCATTTCCAGTTTCTTTTTTTTCTTTTTCTTTTTTAATTCATTTTCAGTTCTTTTTTTTCTTTTTTATTTTCCCTTTTTCTGTCGTCGGTTTGTTCCCTTTTTATTTTCTTTCTTATTCGGTTGTAATCTTCTGTTGTGTTCCCCCCATTTTCGTCGCATTCCTCTGATTTCGCTTTTCCCGTCGTTTCTTTTCTTTTTGTTTCCCGTGGGCGTGTTGTTTGGCCTTGGGCGGGAAAATGGAAAAAAGAAAAGTTCGAGGGTCCGCCCGCCTGCACTCACTCATGCCCACACACACACACACATGCCCACCCACCCACCCACCCACCCATATATATATATATATATTATGTTAAGTATTTGAAGTTCGTTCACAATAGTTGCGTTGGGGTTTGAACCCACGCACAGATTTCGAAATACCCAATTGCCACCTAACCGCTCAGGTGGACTGGGTCCCTGTCTGTTTTGGGGGACTGTTGTCTTTTGAAGTGTATCCGACGTCAGGCTACTGGCACGTCAGGATGTGCCTGTGTGTCTGAACCCTAACGTTGCACAGTGTGACCCCCGCCGGCCTGAAATGGACTTTCCTGGCCTAACTAACCGGGTTCTTAGGGGGGGCGGCGACCGGGCAGGCGCAGGCGGGTCCGGGCCAAACATTTTCAAGCGCGAACTTTGTCGATTTTTCGTGCTCAGAACAATTCGCAAAAACATCTGAAAATTTGATTTCCTTTAGATTAGGCCGTGATCTTTCCATGAAAAATATCAGAAAAAAAAAAAACAAAAACCTAACGGTGAAGTAAATGCCGCGCTGTTTCATCACATTTTCCATTTTTACTACTCTACCACGTTTGGGCCAACGGGAAAAGAAACCAAACTTTCGCTATTTTTTGCAATCAGAAGGATGACCCAACAACTCTGAAAATTTGAGGGTCTATAGATTTGGTCGTGATCTTTACAGGCAAAATGTTTAAAAAAATAAAGAAAATCATTTCGACCGCGAAATAAATCGCGGGGATAATTCAATGTATTTTTGAATTTTGTCACTCTGCCAGTTCCCCCCACTGTACTACCAGTAGCCCTCATGGACCTGTGGTCGCAGCTGGGGTCCAGGTACATGTACAGATCAAGTTGTCATTCGGGGTCCAGGTACATGTATTAATCAAGTTGTCCTGCGGGATCTCTCTCTCTCTCTCTCTCTCTCTCTCTCTCTCTCTCTCTCTCTCTCTCTCACACACACACACACACACACACACACAGAAAAGAAAAAAGAAAAAAGAAAAAAAAGACACACACACAAAAAAAAAGGTGATAGTTGGTGATACCCACGACAACTTGATCGGTCTGGGGCTATGTCCCACTACAGACATTTTTTTTTTTTAACTATACTCTTCTCTCAATTTCCTCACACTACCAACCTACCACTACTCCTACTTATAGGCATACGGGGAAACCCGTAGCATACCAGAGCCGTGTTTTTTTTATGGCCCATCGAGCCTGCAGGATACCGGCCAGGGGACGACTGGTAGCACCCCGGATAAAACGGACCAATCCCTCGTGCCTCCCCTCAGGCCCCTCCGCTAATACCCCGTAACACCACGGGGTAAATCATGTTGCCCCCCGCCCCAACAACGGTAATCAGAGATGGGGCGGGGCCCCCGGTGGGGGTCCGGTGTAGGGCCAAACCTCGATAGACTTTCGAGCCTTAGTCGACCCCACTGCGGGTCCCAGTTGGCTCGGCCCGCCCACGCTCATGCTCGGGGCGTGGGCCGTTCCTCGCGAGGTCACCCCCACCTAGTGCTTTGAGATGGATGGGGGTGGGCCATCGCGCGAGAGAGCTTTAACATTGGGGGATGTAGCTCAGCCCTCACGCCGGGTGTTAGTCTTGCTGGTTGTTCCGCAACGCTGATTTTTTTTTTATTCTTTATTGTGTTCTCATGCAATTGCTCCTTCCAATACGCAGGCAGTCCAAGGATTCTTTGAGTGTTTTCTTTTCTCTTGTTCGTAGGCTAAGCGTCATCCTTAGGCCACACACCATTTCCCTAAGCAATGTGGCTATATGGAGTTATCGGGGTGTGGCGGAGTCGTCCTCCCCCTCGCCTCTACGCATCCATCGGGTCTCACAATTTGTTGTTTTCCTTATTGAAGTAGGCCCCTTAGTCTTTTCGGGGTCCTCATATGCATGCACACATAACATCACAATTTCCTTGGTACGATTGCACTCTCATTTGCACTCCAAGTCCTCAAGCACAAAAGTCATTTCCGTGGGTTGGCTCTATGTCAAGGGTCCCATAGCCCCTTTGTCCCTCTTCCCTTTCACTCTTGGTGCCCAATTCCTCTCGCCCCTATCCCGCTCAAGGCATTTCTAGCCATCACTCACCTGCACAATCCCACACAAGCAAGGAGATCCATACAATCCCCCGTTGGGGGTCAACACATAGCCCTTCCGACATGCCTATCTTTTCAAATTATTTGGTTGCTCTTTGTTCCCTCTTGATGCTCAATCAGCCCATTCTCTTCTCTCAGTCATCCAGTCGGGGAAATGGTTGAGTCAAACTGACCTCACTTTCAACTCAAGTTATCTTCCGGATTCCGCCTTTCTCCCACTTTTTCAACCGTTCTTTCTCTTTTCCCTCCTTGGTGGCACAAGGGACCGGCTATTCTCCCCTTGCCCTCTTTCTCCACCAAGTGAAGTCTGATTTTGTTTACCGTCCACGCCTTGGCAATGTTTCCAAGTGAGGGGAGAAGGGTTAGTCATATGCCAAGTGAGGGGTCGGGAGAGAGGGAGAGAGAAAGCAAGGTGATAAGAAGGGGGGAGAAAGAGCGGTCTAGAGGAGGAAGGAGGAAAAAGGGGGAGAGGAGGAAGGAAAGAGAGTGAGAGGGGAAGAGAGAGAGAGGGAGAGAGAGAGAAAGAGAGAGAGAGAGAGAGAGAAAGAGAGAGTGAGAGAAAATAAGAAGAACTCCTAATCGAATCAGCTCCCCATGACAGCAACCAAACGTCGATCACCCGCTCCATAGTAAGAGATTGAACAAGTATATCTTGGAATAATATGACAATGAGAGGCTATATCAACACATACTCATAGAGAATAAGATCGTCTAAACAAGACCCGGAACATCACATCAAACATAAACTTGACAATGAGAGGCTAGACTAGTGGAAGCCACATGCACAAGGAGAAGAGACTAACTAAGTAAAGATCCGGAACATCATATGAAATATGAACTTAACAATGAGAGACTACACTAGTGGAAGGCACATGCACAAAGAGAAGGGATCAACTAAGTAAAGATCCGGAACATCATATCCGACTTGAACTTTGACAAGGAGAGGCTAGACTAGGAGAAAGCAAATGCACAAAGAGAAGAGACTAACTAAGTAAAGATCCGTAACATCAAATCAATCATGAACTTGACAAGGAGAGGCTAGACTAATGGAAAGCACATGCACAAAGAGAAGAGATTGATTACGTAAAGATCCGGAACATAATCTTGACAATGCACAAATAGAAGGGATCAACTAAGCAAAGATCCAAAACATGAATTTGACAATGCACAAAGAGAAGAGGATCAACTAGGCAAAGATCCAGAACATGAACTTAACAAGGAGAGGCTAGACTAGTGGAAGCACATGCGCAAAGAGTAGAGATTAACTAAGCAAAGATCCGGAACATAAGCTTGACAATGTACAAAAAAAGGGGATCAACTAAGCAAAGATCCGGAACATTAACTTAACAATGCACAAAGAGAAGGATTAACTAGGCAAAAATCCGGAACATGAACTTGA